TTTAGTAGAGACGGGGTTTCACCGTGTTGACCAGGATGGTCTCGATCTCTTGACCTCGTGATCCACCCGCCTTGGCCTCCCAAAGTGCTGGGATTACAGGCGTGAGCCACCGCGCCCCGCCTTGAGATAGGATCTTGCTCTGTTACCCAGACTGGAGCGCAGTTGCCTGAACATGGCTCACTGCAGCCTCAACCTTCCATGCTCAAGTGATCCTCCCACCTTAGCCTACCGAGTAGCTAAGACTACAGTTGTGCATCACTTCGTCAGGCTAATTTTGTGTTTTTTGTAGCAACGTGGTCTTGCTGTGTTACCTGGGCAGGTCTTGAACTCCTGGACTCAAGCAATCCTCCCATCTTAGCCTCCCAAAGTGTTGGGATTACAGGCATGAGACACTGCACCCAGCCCCTTATTTATTTATTTACTTATTTATTTTTGAGAGAGTCTCACTCTGTCACCCAGACTGGAGTGCAATGGCGCAATCTTGGTTCACTGCAACCTCCGTCTCCTGGGTTCAAGCACTTCTCCTGCCTCAGCCTCCCAAGTAGCTGGGGTTACGGGCGTGCACCACCACACCCAGTTAATTTTTGTATTTTTAGAAGAGACAAGATGTCGCCACATTGGCCAGGCTGGTCTCAACTCCTGACCTCAAGTGATCCACCTGCCTCAGCCTCCCAAAGTGCTGGGATTACAGGCGTGAGCCACCACACCTGGTCCCCTTTCCCTTTTCTTAACAAAAGTCAGTGGCTCTACACATAAAAAACCAACTCTCGACAGTACGATTGCATCAGGCAGGAACCATGGCAGTGACCAAGGAGCTCTTACAAATGGACCTGTACACGCTGCTAGGCATTGAGGAGAAGGCGGAGGACAAAGAGGTGAAGAAGGCATATAGGCAGAAGACCGTCTCCTGCCACCCAGACAAAAATCCAGATAATCCCAGAGCAGCTGAACTTTTCCACCAGCTTTCTCAGGCCTTGGAGGTGCTGGCCCATGCTGCAGCCAGGGCAGGGTCAGGAAAGCCAAGAAGCAGGCAGCAGAGAGGACCCAGAAACGATGAGAAAGGGAAGAAAGTGAAGCTTGATCTGGATGCCCGGGAACGGCAGGCCCAGGCCCAGGAGAGTGAGGAGGAGGAGGAGGAGGAGGAGAGCCGGAGCACGAGGACACTAGAGCAAGAGATCGAGCACCTGAGAGAAGAGGGTTCCCGGCAGCCGGAGGAACAGCAGAGGCTCCTCCGGGAGCAGAAACGCCAGGAGCATGACCAGAGGTTGACAGGAAAGACAGAAAATACTGAAGGCCAAGGAACCCCCAGACTAAAGCTAAAATGGAAGTGCAAGAAGGAGGGTGAGGCAGAAGGTGGCTACTCCAAAGACGGCCTCCTACGGCTTGTGCAAAAGGAACGTGAGGTTCTCAACCTGGTACTTTCCAGTAAGAAGGCAGGCACTGCTGCGGTGGAGTTCGCGACTGTCAGGGCTGCGGAGCTGGCTGTCCAGAATGAAGCTGGCCTGGTGGGTAGCCCTCTGAAGATTTCCTGGTTGGAGGGACAGCCCCAGGACACCATGGGCCGCAGCCACCCAGGACTGTCAAAGGGCTCAGTGCTGCAGGAGAGGCACCGCGAGAGCCTCGTCATGATGCGCATGCGCCAGGCGGCCGGGCGGCAACAGCTGATCCCACGGATGGGGCGGGAAGACCAGGAGGGGCCGCCCACGTAGCGCCCCCCCCACCCCCGCTACCTTTTCTTCAATGTCACCAATAAAAGTTTTTGTTGTTGTCGTTGTTGTTGTTGTTGCAAAACCAACTCTCTTTCTAAAGTAGTTTCTGAGATTCTTGAAGAACAGAGGTAAGATTGTGATTTACAGCTTGGGTGCCAATGGAACACATCACACCTGGCCTGAGAACATTCACAAATCAGCAAAGAAGTCAGATGCAGGTGGCTCTGCTATGATAAAGGGAGTGTACCAGGAGAGCTGGATAATGAGTGTAATTAGGGTGTCAGAAGTTAAGGTTCAGTGAAGAGATGTTGCCAGAGCTTTCTTGAAGGTTGAGGAGGTATTTACCTGGAGGAGAAGATAGGGAAGAAATTCCTCGGAGGGGGAATAGAGTGTCTAAGAGTATGGAGAAGTAAAAGAGCTGGACCAAACTGGAGAACTCTGAGATGGTCAGTGTGCCTGGGGCTTCAGACAGAGAGGAATGTGGAAGGAGGCCTTGCAGGGTGGGCTATGATTTTGACTCCACAGGCTCAAAACTAGGTTCTCCCACTTAAGAGCTGTGTAACGTTGAGCAAATTACTTACCTTTTCAGAGTCTCATGTTCCTAATCTGGAAAATGAAGATACCCATGTGATAGGGTTTAACAGAACTTCAATGTGATGATGTACATAAACATGCAGCAAATAAGTGTGTTATGATTTGTCATATTCTTTGCATTATATTCTTTACATGTGTAATATACCAGTTGTATCACAGGATACGGAGCGGAAGGCAGCACAAGATTGGCACTTATAAAGGTGGATCTTCCAGCATACTATTTGCTACCCCTGCTGAATGCTTTGCCTTCTATAGCCAAGGATGGTTTCAATGAGCAATTGAGTTGGATAAAAAGTAGTTTCAGTTGGCCAGGCACTGTGGCTGATGCCTATAATCCCAGTACTTTGGGAGGCTGAAGGGGGAGTCACTTGAGCTCAGGAGTTCGAGACTGGCCTGGGCAACATAGCAAGACTCCATCTCTATTTTTTTTTTCAAAGAGTTTCAATTACCAAAGAGAAATGCCACTTGGAAATACCATTTTCCATCCCGTTTCCCAAAGGGGTGCTTAGTTGAACTATAGGTAACTGGGATCCCACTTACCTGTGGATGGAGGCCAGCTTGGCGGATTTCCTGCCCACAGAGAACTCAGAACAGTAGAAGTCAGCCTCGGCCCAGGTCTTATTGAGAGGGAAGAATCGATAGCAGTGGCCTTTGAACTCCATCCAGAACAGGGGGCACAGGGAAGGCTGGGGCAGCTCCGGCAGGGCTGGAAGCAGAAAGGAAACAGACAGGAAGGAAGGTTGGCAGCACGGACATTGTTTCCACAGCTTCCTACCTATTTTCTTTCCTTTACAATCTTTTAATTTTAATTTTTTTTTAAGAGATAGGGTCTCGTTCTGTTGACCAGGCTGAAGTGCAGTGGTTCAATCATAGCTCATTGCAGCCTCCAACTCCCAGCCCAAATGATCCTTCCACCTGAGCCTCCTGAGTAGCTGGGACCACAGGTGTGTGCCAACATGCCTGCCTAATTTTTTGATTTTTTTTGTAGAAAGGAGGTCTTACTATGTTGACCAGGCTGGTCTTGAAGTTCAGAGCTTAAGTGATCCTCCCACTTCAGCCTCCCAAAGTGCTGGGATTGCAGGTGTGAGCCGCTGTGCCTCCTTGTACATACTTTCAAAAATGAAAGTAAAACATGTTCCATTATCATCAATTCAATTATATGCTTGAGATCCAAAAAGCACATACATATCTACATTTTACTAAATTATAGAAATAATACGTGCACATCATGGAACACCCGGAAAATGTTAATGCCTTGATAAATTTTTTTCTCATGTCACATTTGTATGCAGTGATTTTTATAATGTAATGTGATTATATGGTACTCTATATACCAGTCGGTATTCTGATTTCTAAAAATTAAAGCGTATAAGCATTTCTCCCATGTCATTATACATTTTTGTAAACATTGTTTTAAATAGCTCTTGAGTTCTCTACTGAGTGGCTCTCCTAAAGTTTATTTAACCATTCTCTTATTTTTGGATAATTAGATAGCTTCTCTATTTTTTAAACCATTACAAATAATTCTGAGATGAGCAGCTTTGTGCATAAAGCTTTTTTTGGCATTTCTGATGATTTTCTGAGGAGAGAGTTTCAAGGCTTTAATACAATTTGCTAAATTGCCTCCTGGAAGCAATTTATCCTCCCACGGTAATGTCTGAGAGTGCCCATTTCACTCTGCCCTTGCCAGAGCTGAGTGTTATCACTTTCATGACAATCTTGGCAAATTTTATAAGCCAAAAAAAAAAAAGGGTATCTTGTTTCAATTTGCAATGCTGGGCTATCTGGCAAGAGTACACAGCTTCCCACGTGTTTATTGCAAAGCTATAGCCAAGACTATTTATATCTTTTGCCCATCGAACCCCTGGAGTTCAGGATTTGTTCTTAATTCTGAAAAGAATTTTTTTTTTAAATAACATGTTTAGACAGCAAAGTTCTCTCAAGTCTCAGCCCCTCTGAAAGCTTCTTAGGAGATACTTTTTTTGGAAACCACGACTCAGGATGACTGGCGGGAAGAGACAGGCAGGCTGAGAACCTTTCTCATACTAGGTTGGATGGCTTGTCCATGAAGACAGGCAGTGGGCGGGGTTGAAATCTATTAGGGGATTGGGAAGCCTGGGTCATACCCCTAGCTCTGTATCTGACCCGCTGTGAGACGCTGGTTCATTCTTTCCCAACTTGACCTTCAGACTAGATGATCTCTGGGGTGCCTTTTGCAGCCACCCACTCAAGGGGGGATGAAGGTCACTCTTTACTGGATTTTTTGCCTTCAAGCCACTATAGTGGTTGGCTGAGCTCATGAAGTAATAAAGTAATGAACAACATTCATTGAGCATTTATTATAGTTTCCCTATACGCGGAGCACATATAGGGAAACTGAGGCTAAGGTTGAGTGACTTGCCCAAGATCATCCTGCAGGTAAGTGGCATAGTAAGGATTTGAACCCAGGCTTCCCAACTCCTAAGTTTTTGCTCATAAAGTTGGCATGATGCTTCATGATGGGAAATTAGCAGGTCTAAGAATAGTTCATGATCTTTATAGCATCTACTTCATGGGGTTACTGGGTCAATTGACTGGGCCAAATAAATTCACCAAGTACTTGCGATATATGGATTGTGTAATGTATGGTTATTAATGATTAGCTCAGGGCTTTATAACCCAGACTGATGGGCTGCAGGGATCCAGTGAATTCCCCAGAATCAAATGCAAAATCAAAACTGTGTGTGCACCTCTGAGCATTTCTCTGGGGAAAGAAAGGGACAGTTGCTTTCATCAAGACAGCTGTGCTAGGCAGGCAGGTTCCAGGCCATGCTTCTCAGGGTTGGTCAGTGCCACTGGGCTTTCCCCTTTGACCAGAATGGCCTCTCCCCGACCCCAGCAGCTGTGCTGATCAGGGATACCTCCCTACCCATCCTGGTCAATCCTGGCCAACTCTCTTTCAATGCATGCCAGTCTCCAAACTGGAGCCTGTTGGTTCAGAATTTGCTCTCTTAATCCTCTTCTGCATGGCAAAAGGAAAGACCTCTGTTTGGGGAGGTAAATGGGCATAGCACCTTGGCCTGTCCCCACCCCCCTCTGGGACTCAGGTCTCATCTTTCTTGATGGAGAGCGTTGGTCTAGGAGAATATCACCTCGATGCCTTAAAGTGCCAATGGCCAAGAGGGTTGATGGGCCCTTTGTAACGCTGGGTGTTGCTGAGCTCTTCGTGGGGACTTGCGGGCCCTGCCTACAACACAAACAGGCTCCACTGAATCGCTGCGTAGGGCCACTTTTTCATCAGTTTCTCCCTTAGCATGGACGAGAAGCAGCAAATCCTTTCCACCTTCTTTCCACTCAGTAACCAAGGACACTCGCCGGTGAGAACTTGGCTAAGTTTGTCCAGGAGGGACTGGAATGACTCAGTATTTGCTGGTGATAAACCACTTTGCTCACTCCCACCCATCCTAAAATTACTTGACATCCTAAATACTCGTATTAGAGATGAAAGTAGGGTGGCCAAGCCATCCCAATGTGCCCAGGACCATCCCAGTTTTAAAATCAAGAGTCCTGGCTGGGAGCGGTGGCTCATGCCTGTAATCCCAGCACTTTGGGAGGCCGAGGTGGGTGGATTTCTTGAATTCAGGAGTTCGAAGCTAGACTGGGCAACATGGTGAAACCCCGTCTCTATAAAAAAATGCAAAAATTGCCATGTGCGGTGGCTCACGCCTGTAATCCCAGCACTTTGGAAGGCTGAGGCAGGTGAACCACGAGGTCAGGAGATGGAGACCATCCTGGCTAACAAGGTGAAACCCTGTCTCCACTAAAAATACAAAAAAAAAAAAAAAAATTAGCCTGGCGTGGTGGCAGGTGCCTGTAGTCCCAGCTACTTGGGAGGCTGAGGCAGGAGAATTGCATGAACCGGGGAGGCAGAGGTTGCAGTGAGCCAAGATCGTGCCACTGCACTCCAACCTGGGCAATAGAATGAGGCTCTGTCTCAAAAAATAAAAAAATAAAAATAAAAATACAAAAATTAGCTGGGAGTGGTAGAGTGTGCCTGCAGTCCTCACTACCGTGAGGTGGGAGGATTAATTGAGCACGGAAAGTCGAAACTGCAATGATCCACGATCACACCACTGCACTCCATCCAGCCTGGGTTATAGAGCAAGATCCTGACTCAAAACAACAACAACAACTGCTACTACAAAACCCTGAGGGTCCCACATCCTGGGCACCCCTACAGTTCCCAGCAAACTGAAATTGGTTGGTCACTCTCAAACGGTGAGGGGCGATTTTGCCCCCACCCGTCGCCAGGAGACACTGGACGACGCCTGGAGATATTTTTGCTTATCACCACTGGAAGTGGTGGGGCTACTGGCATCAAATGGGTAGAGGCCAGGAGTGCTGCTAAACATTCTATAATGAACAAGTCCCCACAACAAAGAATGATTCAACCCAAAATGTCCGTAGTGCCAGGATTGAGAAACCCTGCCCTAGATGGAAGACAGGACTCCAACAATGTAAAATAACCCCACAGTGCAGCAACACAAAACATCACAGTAAGCATTCACATTTCTTAGCCTGTTCATATTTTCTTCAACAAAAGTTAAGACACCACCCCCGCAACTAATGAGAAGTATAGTGTCTGCTATTTCTCTAATTTTAGAGTTAAAATGTATTACTAATCTAAGCCCATGGCTTAAAAGCACTGAAGGCATTGCTTTAACATTCTGTTTATATTTGACAACATGGACCTCACTAACGAAGACTGCAGAAGGGACGTCTAGCGCTTTCTTCCCTGAGTTTAGAATGAAGCAAACTTCTTTGTCATCTCTCTGTGACCGTAGGAGGTTATTTTTCCCCCCTGGTTCCCCTTCCGCTGAAGATGAAACTCTTCATGAGTTTGTGCTCTAAGAAAGGGTTCCAGTTTCAATTCCCTGCTTCAGATAGCTTTGACTTCACCTCCTACCCTGTGTGGGTGTTCAACCCCAGTCCATGCATTATGGAGGCTGATGCCCTACCCAGGGCTCTGGAGCAATAGGATTGCTTTGCTTTCTATCTCTATCTTGGTTTCTGTCCCCTGGGTACCCACCTCACTTCCTTGGAAGTCCAGTCTGACTTTAGCAGGGTGTTTATAGATGTCCCTGTGGCCTTTCTGCACGGCGACAGTGGAAAGAGCATGTAGTCTCAAATTCACCATATTCTGTCATCTGGATGTCTCCACACTCTGTTTTCTCCCTCTTTTTTAAATAAACTTTTTATTTTGGAATAAATTTAGAGTTACAGAAAAGTTGTCAGAGAGTACAGTGATGGTTACCAAAGGCTAGGAGGGATAGGTAGTGGGGAAGGTAGGGGAAAAGCGGGGCTGGTTAATGGGTACAAAAACATGGTTAAGTAGAATGAATAAGACCTAGTTTTTGATAGCACAACAGGGTGACTACGGTCAACAATAATTCATTACACATTTAACAAAAACAAAAAGAATATCATTGGAGTGTTTGTAACACAAAGAAATGATAAATGCTTGAGGTGATGGACGCCTCATTTACCTTGATGTGATTATTGCACACTGCATGCCTGTAACAAAATATTCCATGTACCCCATAAATATATATACCTACTACGGCCCATAAAAATGAAAAATTAGGCTGGGCACAGTGGCTTACACCAGTAATCTCAACATTTTGGGAGGTCATGGTTGGAAGATTGCTTGAGCCCACGAGTTTTAGA